TTTATGTTTATATTTAAGGATTGTCCTGGCCAATTAGGGATGGGTGGTTACCCTAAGTATACTAAAAACAACTACTTTTCCTGAAAAGCAGGACACAGCTTAATAATCAAACCTCATGGCCACTAAACAGGGCTGGTGGTTTTATAGGACAATTCAAAATATTCCTTGTGGTGCTTTTTTCTGACTGATGCTCATAGCTAAGAGGGAGATGACTATGTCTGATGTTATTGCTGAAAAATATTTTCTGTTTACTATGGCAACTTGTCTAGGACTTCCACACTTCATCCTGCATTACAGAATCCTTCTCCTTTATGACTCAGTATTTATTAATTTTCACAAGAACGAGAGGCTCAGTTTAAAGGTGCCAAATTCAGATAGAGGAAGGTATGTTATAACCTTCTGTTTATTCAAAGAACAGGAACAGTATAACATAAGCAATGGCAGTGTGAGATTCCCCACACAGACCAGTACTTGAGCCATGATGCCATGGCACTCTGGAACACCATGGGATTCGTTTAAGAGTGCTGCACAATATCAGCACTGTTAAGTATCTAGACACCTACACGATTGACACTATAAACCAATTCTAGGTGGGCTCCAGTCAGCTTGAACATGAGACCCAATTTAAAGTTATAAATAATATGTGCAAATGATGCACGTATGTTTAGACCACTTCCTTTACACAACTGGTTCGAGTGATATACTGGGAGTATCTACACGAGACATTTACTGCAGAGCTGCCTGATTAGCTCTGCTATAAAGTCTCAGCATCTACATGTGCTAAGCCTATTAGGCTGCAGGAAACTAATTAACTCCATCGTTAGTATTTGTAAACATAAGTACTATCCTATGGCATGGTTTAGTGAACAGCAATGCATGTGTAGACACTGACCTGGCTGGCTGTCTCCTGGCTAACTCCACACTGGAGCACCCTTGTGCCCCAGTTGGCCCCTCCACAGCATGTTGAGCTGGGTCAGAGCAGCTCCCTGGGTCCCTGCTAGCTGGGGCTGCTCTGACCCAGCTCAATATGCTATGGTCCCAGGCACACGTGTAAACATGGTGCCTGGGAACAATAAATTCTGGCATGGCGTGCGTCAAAGTTTATTGCATTGCATTAATTTCATGTGTAGACGCACCCACAGAGGAACTATTTATGGGTGTGAGACAGGCAGGGTTTGGCCCTAAACATTATTTATGTTTTACCAACTGCTTCTGATACCATGTCTGTTAGGATGTACATAGTCATGGGTTTGCACAATTCATCAAGTTGTTTGGAGAGGCATTTGGATGAAAGATGCCTAACACACTAGTCAATACTGTCACGCTGTTTCCTTGTAGTCCCCCACCGGTATGTCTGTATCTGTTTATTGTCTCTGGTCTCATACTTAGATTTGGTGCTGGAAGCATCTTTTGGTTTTGTGTTTGTACAGCACATAACATAATGTAGTCTCCATCCATAACTAGGCTGCCGGGTGCTATGGTAAATTACACAGAAAAAAAAAATTCTAGAATGGCAACGCTGCTATTGTTACAAGACGGATGTGTGGGCTCCTATTTTGAGCATAGGATGTAGTACTGAGAGTGACTGAGGATTCTAACTCTGGCTCTCTGCAGTCCAGAGACTGCAAACCCTTACTCATGTCAGTAATCCATTGAAGACAATGGTTTCCCTCTGTATAAAAGGAAGGTAGTCCTTACTTTATAAGTAAGGCTACATTGTCTGATGCTTGCAAAACATGGGTTTGAGTAGGAGTGAAGTGTGGTGAGAAATATCTGTGACTTTTTCTTGTATATGTATGAAGTGTGTTGTTACATGGTAAATACTAATCACAACATGCAAGAGCTAGTAATTATTTCTCAACTTACCTAATGCTAGAATTAAAAAAAAAAAATCACAACACAACCATAAAACTTGAGAATATCCACAGTCTGCTCTCAGCAAAATACAACTGCCTTTGCTCTAGTCTGATGTTAGTGGAAGACAGGGAGAGACATGCTATACAAGTCTGATGTGTTAACAATTATATCATGATCACTGCTTTTGTTACTACTTTGAGCTTTGTCTGTTATAAATACATACTTTGGAGTAGAGATAATACCAACTCCCACATGGTTAATGTTTTGGACTGTTCCATTTTGGCTCTTAACAGCATTGTGGACTAGAAATGATAGATGAGATGAAATGCCATTCACAGAGATCCAGCCCCAGGGGAGGCTGGCCAAAGCCAGTTGCTTAGCCTGGGCTGGCTGTTTGTGCAGGGAAGCTGCACGCTGAGGAGAGCCTGGGAGGGAGGATCACAGTCCTGGAGCCAATAAAACATTCACTGAGACTGCTGAACTCTGCAAAGAGTCAGAGAGAGAGAGAGAGGGGGAAAGAAAGATTTGGCCTTGCAAATATCGCAATGAGGGAAATAGTGCACATCCAGGCTGGCCAGTGTGGAAATCAAATTGGAACAAAGGTAAGAGATCTTTCCCACCCCTAAATAGTAACGTTAACTTGCTTACTTTTTACTAAGAGCTGTATGTAGCAGCAGCTACTTTACATTGCTATCACAGCTCCTGTTTAAGCTTTCAGCAGCACAATGAAATGGCTCTGAAAAGCATCATTGCCTTCATGTGTCTTTTTTTCTTGAGAAACTTCAGGATAATTGGCAATTTCACTCCTTGCTCTCCATGCCACATTGGAAAATGTTTCTCTTGCAACAAAATAGGCTCTGACCTCTCTTGAGATCTGTGCATATAGACTAGGCAGCTGGAAAACTAGCAAATAGGGAACTAAAAAACTCATCTCCTTCATGTGACCATAAAAGGCTTTGGAAAAAAATTGGAATGAAGGAAAAAATGACTGGGGACAGTGGATTAAAAGAACAAAGAAGGCAGCAAAAATAAAAACGGTCAAATAGCCATAAAAAAAATACTGTGGAATCCCAACCGTTTGTATGGTTGGTTTGAAATCCTGGTGCCTGTCTGCTTGGCTTTGTCTTTCTCCAACCCCACCCCATCTCCTCGCTGCTGTTCAGGCCAGGCCAGGGGTAGGGAGGGGCTCAGAGGAGCAGTTCTCAGACATGCCAAGAATTCAGCAGCTGTTACTGCAACACATGCCTCCAAGGGCTGCCCTGTCCCTGCCAGGATTTGGATAATATGACGTCCCTGAAAGAGATGCTTATTGCTTTAGCAAAACTGAATCTAGTGGTTGTGCTTTAACCAAGTTTCTCCCACTTTTTCTTTCCCCCCTAAAGTTTTGGGAAGTGATCAGTGATGAGCATGGCATTGACCCAGCGGGAGGGTACGTCGGTGACTCAGCACTGCAGCTGGAGAGAATCAATGTCTACTATAATGAATCATCTTGTAAGTGTATGGCGGCAGCTGCCTGATGAGAAGTCACAAGGGGAGAAGGACGGGTCCTCCCTTAATGGGAGGAGGCATGTGAAGAAAGCAAAGGCTTACTCATAGCTTCAGCTACAGACTTGATGAGACATGTGTGCATGGTTTTATTTGGAACCCATCATCCAACATCTGCAGTTACTTTCTCTCTGAGCAGAGGGGAATGGTACAGGACAGCTACAAAACTATCAGTTATGGGAATTTTTTTGTTTTTTAGTTTGTGATAGATTTTCTCTTGTAAGATGCGATTAATTCAAGTTAACGTGCCTCAGCAGTTAGCTGATGCTAACCAGTCCATTTTGCAATTGTACATTCATAGTCCATTGACTATGATTTCAGAAGCTATCAGAATTGAGCCTTTCTGTGCTGGGAGGATCAGTGGTGATTCAGTGAAGCAGCCGCACCCCTGAATATTGTGTCCCAGAACAGCTGGTGTGGAAGGTGCTGTGCTGCTGAGGGAGTTGCCCCTGGTACGATCTGTAAAACTGCAAACAAGACTCCCTGTGCACATTCAAGACACTTTTAGTAAGTGTGGAAGTGTCACTGTGTCCTGGACAAATTCCAGCTTAGGGCATTCATTTTGTCTGCATGAATCTATGCTCTAATTTTAAGTGGAAAAGGCATTCTTTGCTTCCTGTTATTAACTGTTATTCAGTAATGGAGCACACTGATTTCCACCTCTTAAACTGGCTCCATTTCAGTCAAGGAAGGAAATTATTCCTTAAAGTATAAATTTGCAAAGCATTTTAAGATCATTTGAATGAAGGCCCCATCATACGATTATGTACAATTACAATTACAGCTACTTACCAAGAACATGCAACTCATTTTGCCAGAAAGTTGTCTTTCTGGAAACCAACTGGTGAAAAGCTGTTTTAAAATACAGTTTAGGAGGGTGCATATGATTGAAACCCCCAAATTATTTAAATCAGCTACTTAATCACAATAATTTCTTCTGTAATGCTTGAGAAGAAAGATTCCTATTTAGGAAGATGAAAGCTGTATAAAGATACACAAGCAAGCTAAACAGCTTAAAATGAAATATAGTTTGTTCATATATTAAGAAATATAATAGAAGAAATTAGCCTATTTTCATATACTAAGAATGTATTGACTTTTTATTGTAGCCCAGAAATTTGTACCCAGAGCAGTCTTAGTGGACTTGGAACCAGGAACCATGGATAGCGTGCGATCAGGTCCATTTGGTCAACTCTTTCGACCCGATAATTTCATCTTTGGTATGTGAATATCATCCTTGCTTTTAAAAATAGATGGTCAGTTACCAAAAAGTAACTTTTAAGTCAAAAATGTACCTTGGATAAAAAGCATATGAGCTGGGCTGTTTCCTCTACCCCAAGCAGCTGTAAATAATCATTACTAACAAAAATTGAGAATCTAACGACACAATTCAAACTAACCAAAAAAATAACCTTTATCCAAAATAGGGTCAAACACCACTGTGTTAATTACACTGAAAATCCCCTCCATTGCACAAATTTACTAAACATTCTCTGTGATATTCTGCTAATCTACACCGTGCAATATCTATTTCATGTAAAGAAAAAATCCTGAGGGCTTCTATACTTTCATTAAGAAGAAATAGGGAATGAAAGACCTACCCCTGCTTACATAATCCATTAATAGTTGGATACCAATGAGAAACGAAGGAAAACAAATGACAAAGTACAGAACAGATTGTCATACACAATCTAGCACTAGGATGGTTGTCTTCCAGTAAAATTAGGAACTAACTTAAAACCAAACAGAACTGACACTGAAAGCAAATGGGGAGTTTCCATCCCGTGTTGTTCTTTTTCCAGGAAGCAAAGGTAGACCTGAAACAAGACCACAGATCCAAGCAATGGGAACTTTGGAAAAGCTAGTTTCAGAATTTCCATTACACAGCTGTGCTCACAGACCAAACCAACCCCCTGAAAATTAATTCACCTAAGCATTGGAATCAGAACTTTGCAGACAGCACCCACCTCTAAATACAGCCAAATGAGTAGAAAGTCTCTCTTGAACAATAGGTTGTTGTACTGTGCTCTCTTCCTGCCAAGCAAACAATGAGCTAATGCCACATGATTAAGTGGTGTCTGACGCCGAGTCTACAGCCAGCATCAGGCACTTTCCTCCAAATCTGCTGAATAATGCAGAATGGCTGCCTTTGAGCTCAAGCAATAATCTATTATGTCAGACGCCAACAAAGCCTTTAGTTTTCTGTTATATCTGTTCCGAACAAAAGACTTTGTGGCAACAGCTGATAAATCCATACTTGCCATATTCCAAACCACTGAGACTTACGCTGATAGGGAGAGATTTCAAGCAGCTTTTTTGCCCTCCCCACTGAAGTCCATATCAAAATAGGTCACAGTTTAGGTGTATTAAATACTTTTAAATTTCTTGAACATATGGGGCTTAGTCCTGCTTTCTTCCCACACTTTCCAGTAAGATCAAGGAGAAGTTTTGCATGTGCAAGAAATATGCAATCAGGATTTTAATTACAATTTGTATTAACAAGCTAACTGACCTAAAGGAAAGCTTCCTAGGAACTCTCCTGCTGTTTGTTTTTCTTGCTGTCCTCCTGTTTCCTAAGATCAAGGCGGATGTGGATCACACCCACTTTGGCTATGTCACATTCAGGAAAGCTCAATGGTCTGCAGACAAATGCTGCACCAAATTCACTAAATATAATTAGAAGTGGATTTATTTAAATGGAAACAAGCATTTCCCTACTTCCCTTATTTAAATGGAAGCAACCATTCTTCCATCAGCCAAAGTGTGCTCAGTATTGATTTAGCTTAAGTCAATTCCCTACTAGTTTAAAAGTGAACATACAATGGGGATGCCCTGATTTATCTTAGATTGTAAAATCCTTGGGACTAGGATCATCTATTTGTTCTGTGTTTGTACAGTTCCAAGGGCAATGAGGTGTTGGGTGCGTGAGTAGGACTTCAAGGAATGCAAATATTACAAAACATATAATAAATTAATAAGTAGTGTTTGTATTTAAAGTTACACCAGTGTCACTTTTTTAATTGTTTTAAAATTAGATTAAATAAAATTGGGGCAAAATGCCATGAGTAATCTTAACTCAGTTTAAGCCAAGTTTACATCAAACTGAAAATAGTCAGGGTAAGCAACATTTATATGAGCAAGGTTTAAACAGAATCCAAAGTATCTACAGAAGTCACACAGCTATGAAAAACCCCCCAAAGTCTTAAATTTACCTCCAAATTTATCTTGTATAGTTTCCCCATCAATAAAATGAAGAGGCATTGATGTTATGAAGATTTGGTATTAGCTGGGAAACCTTAATTTGGCTGTCATCACAGGCACTTTCTTCCATGGGAAGCCTGCCTGATTCTGTGCACAAAATGGACCATCTCAGGGGGTACACAGAGATTGTGCAAGATCTACAGGACTCCTCCCTCATTTGTTGCAAAAATCAAAAGTAGAGAATGGGACTGGAGATTGTAGGAAGAGAAAGCATGGCCTTGTGGTCTGAAAACGGAATTCTATCCCTGCCTCTGCCAGAGGTTCCATTGTGATTTTAAATATGAAACATTTTTCACAGCTGTTGCTAATTACACATCTGTAATTTTTTTGAGCATCTGACTTGAGACTTTGGAGTCTAATTTGCACACATGCTGAGCACTGGCAGTCGCAACTTAATGCAGTAGGAGCTCTGATAGGATTTATAATGCTAAGGCTTACGTATCTAAGATGGAATACCTAATGCTAGTGAACCTTGTCTGCCAATGCTAGTGAATACTTTTAACCTCAATCCCTCTATGCCTCAGTACCTGTCTGTAAAATGGGGGCATTAATGCCCACTCACCATACAGAGGTGATATGAAAACAACTCCATTAATGCGGGTTAGCACATTGATACTATAGTGCGGTGGCTCCCAACCTCAGGGTGCAGCCCAAATGAGGGTCATGGGGGTCCGCCCCTTACTTTGCCCCTCCACTTGTGGGGTTCTCCTGGCACATGGTCCATGCAGCTCTTGCCACTGCTGCCCCCTGCGATCCCAGCCCAGCCCAAGCTCTGTTGGTGCTGCTGGGCATGAGTGAATTAGCAGCGGGGCCAGGGATTGCGACTTGGGTTTAAGGCACAGCAAAAATGATTGGGAGCCACTGCTATAGTGAATACAGTGACAGCATGCTACAGTGAGCACCACAAAAAAGCCTGTAAAGAAATTAATACTTTTGTCCTCAGGGCAAGATTTGAATAGCATACAGTGCATAAGGCACTGGATCATACACTGAATAAAAAGCTGAAAGTCAAAGGTTCACCCAATCCTTACAGCCCATGCCTCTGCGTGAGGCAAGGGCAGATCAAGGGGGCAGGGGGGTGCACTTGCACTCCCCTTTGAATCCTGCTCTGCCCAGAGCTTATAGTCAACTGCCTGGCAGTGGCAGCAGCAGTGGTTCTAATCAGGGAACAGTGAGCAAATCAGTGAACTTCATTTGAAGACCTACCTTATAAATCAACCTGATTCCTTATAAACTCTTCATTCCACAGGTGTTAATAACCCTCTCCTTTTTAATGGTTCTTAATGGTTCCACTACTCAAACCAAACTTTCTTCTGGAATTCTGTTAGTTGCTCCTGACAATGTAGCTCCTAGTCTACAGCTCTGCAGACTGTATTTAGCTCTAGCTAGAAACGTTAAGTCAGGTGTGGAAATTTTTACTCAGGTGTGAAAACTTTCAGAGAAGCATTGGATGCACTGTCAAGATGCTCAAGAAGGCTTGATTTCGTTTTCAGAATCTGAAAGAGATGTACATTTAATTCTAATGACTACAGGACTAATGAAACAACAAAATGAAGTCTTTTGAGTATTTTTGTCTAGTTAGTTGCATTGTTATACATAATATATGATATGGCAAAATAATGCACATTCCAACAAAGTTATATTTATTTTTGCTTCAATCGAACTGCAGAAGGTAGACCTATGCCCCCAGCATATTAGTAAAGCTTCTAGGTTTTAACTAGAGAAAAATGCTTGTTGTGTTATATGTGATGAGGAACCACACCATCTGCATCCCCCTTTCCAAAATCCTAGATCTGCCTCAGGGATTAGGTGATTAAGGCATGCTAGATTGTGTAGCTAATAGCACACATGGGATATGTGCTAACATCATATCCATTTCCAGCTTGAATGATCATGTATTCATTTACAGCTGGGTTGATTAGGAGAAGCATTCTGCATGAATCAAGAATGGGCCTTGAACTCATAGCTTTAGAATTGTAGCAAAAGAGGCCTATATCCTGGCCACACACTGAACAGTCACCATAAAGTAAAACAGAATAGCAGTTTAGTATGTGTGTACTGAATGAGATAAGAATCCTGGATTCACTCTGATTCCCATTCTCACAACCTATCCAGCCCCCAGTGCCTTCTCCCTAACGCTTTCATCAAAACTCTAGTCTCTTTATTCAGTCAACATTGGTTTCCCGCTCCGGGCTCACTTGCCTCTCTCGACCCAATAATATTCTGCTGCAATCCTTTTGCTTGTGAGAAGTACTTCTCTTCCTGTGCCCCTTTTACCTTCGTCAGCCCTTCACCCTCACTCTCCTTGTCCAGACAATCCTAGTTTCACAGAGAAGTAAGGCTGAAAGAGACCTCGAGAAAAGAGCTCACTTAGTTTATGCAGGAATCAAACCTGGAACTGTGGTGTTATTAGCATCCTGTTTTAACCAACCAAGTTACTGCTTTTTCTCTCCCTAGATCTTTGTATAGTTCAGTGCACCCCATCTCCTTGTCTAACCAGTCACAGTCAGGGTAAACAGACTCCTCCAAATCTAGTCCTTTTCCTTCTCCTAGATGTGGCTTTTGCCTCCTCTCCATTTTTATCACTTGGCTTCCTGTTGCACATTGTCTGGGTGCTTGTATTAGGACATGGAGCACAAGAGGGGGCTCCTTTTTCTCAGTTGCTAGACCCAGAGGCATCCCAGCCTGATAATGGCATGTGCAGTCAGCGCTAAGTCCTGTGTAAGATGGAGCATGCTTAGGGAGGATGGAGTCTTTGGTAGTTTTAGTTAGTAGAATCGAATGAGTCTCTACTGAGTGTATATGAACTGCAGTTTTTAAAAGCCAAATATGGGTGGATTTTCATAAAAGCCACATCCCTGACACAAAGGCCATTCCCAGCCAAATTGCAAGTCCCTGTTCCAAAGCACAGGGCAGCACAACTTAAAAAAACACCCTGTGGCTGGGATTTAACATGGGCAAAACAATTTATTTTCCCTTTCTCTTAAAACAGGGCATCCAAAACAAACAAACAAAAAATCCAGCATGGGGCAGGCAAATATCTAGCATCAAAAACTTCAACTCAGACAGTTCAAGTTTCATCATGTTATAATCAACTGATAATGGAAAATGCTGAGCACATATAACAATTGGCAATTCTACCAGGCCTACTTTTACTACTGTTTGTGTTTCACCAGTTGGACTTTAGATCTGGCAGAAATATTTGCTGTAAATTACAATTTAAAGAAAGTCAGCATCAGTAAACTCATGGCCATCTACCAGAGCCTTACAAACTGCAAGCTTTTGCAGTCTTTCATTTTACTTAGAGATGTCACAAGCAACATAACAGATCGTTAATTAAGATATATTAATCTGAGAATTTAGAATATTCATTATATAGCAAAACATCTTCTGAAGTCCTCATCTTTATCATTTTCTCAGGAGAAGAAATCTATAGGTAGTTCCAAGCCAAATTCAATTCAAGTTACTTTATCAAATGTAAACTGTTGTCTCGCAACTTAAACAGTTTTATTTCTGCCTCCGTGGTATAATGGTATCATCAGACAAATGCCGTTCAAATATACAGCTTTCTGCCACAGTTCTTTGTTTCATTTTATGGTAGACTGTTAGTTTTTCCCTCTTTATATCCCTCTCCAAATCAGCCTTTAGAGAACCAGTTTCCAATGCCTTGGATTTGTTTCCTGGCTCAATGTTATAAAATTCAATGGAAAATTTCCTGCATTTGTTTATATTATTTCATTTGAAACTGAACAACTCCCCTAATTGTGACTGAGATGGATTCAGATCGCTGCATGCTTACAAACCTAATAAACTATAATAGGTGCTGCAAAAATACCTATAATTCTCTGAATCAAAGGAGACAAAATAAGTGTAACATTTGTGCTATTTATCTTACCACCAAACACATCCTATGCACCCACCTTGCTTTGAGAAACTTGCCTTTCCATGCTTCACATTTGTTCCCCATTAGTTTTCCATGTGTGTTTTCTACCCATTCCTATTAGAGCCAATCCCTCCTACACCGTGCAGAGTAAGACACTGTAGTACAATCTGGTCCTTTAGTAGGATCCTACCATATGCACAGAGCATTAGTTTTTGCTAGCATTCTGACTGATGCGGCTAGTCACTTTGGCTGAACAAAAGTAATTTGAAGTTTATTCTGTGCTGGAGGATATTGTTTTGTATGCTGTGCAGCTGGACAGGAAATACAGAGCTTCCCACATATTTAAAAAGAAAAGAAAATATAGCAACATATAGAACAATGCCTTTGAGAACAAGGAAACTGAAGCCTGGTGTAGTAAAGATAACGTATGTAATATTTGAACAATACCAAACCCCATGATGTAGGTGGTCCACAATATATACAGTGGGTCTTAAAGTGAGTCGTGGAGATAAGGAAGGAGGAGAAGAGTAGATCAGAGCTTTGAAAACTAGAAAACCTGGGTATGATTGAGTAGTACCTTATACACTGCATTTGGTGGGACTATCCAGTAAGTAGTAATTAATGTCAATGGAGTGTCAAACCTGGTCCTCTCTTACAACCTTCTACTATCAAAGCAGTAGAACACTAAAGTACACTGGGAAGGACCCTTGGGAGTATCTGTTTTATATTGTCAGGGGACTCCTGACAATATAACTGTCTAAGCAGGGTGTAAAAGGAAGAGAAGAAGGGCTCAGAAAAAAGGTTCAACATGTTGTAAGAACACACTTGCTGAGGACCCTGTTAATACTGACATTTTGACCCAGGCAACAGGACCTAAAAAACCCAGTTTTGATTACATCAAATTAAACAACATGACATCTTCACATAAAATCAGTTTCTGAGGGCCAGCTCCTTTCTTGAATAAAATTTGAATTCCCTGTTGAAAACCAGTGACTATGGGACATGCTCCAAGATCCTTTCCTTTAAAGACCTGCATCTCTGTTTTAGTTGCATATACGTCACATTCTTCATAAGGAGCAAGCATTTACATGTAAACAGTGTCTTGTGTTGATGGAATAAGGAGGATTAAGGGGGTTACAAGATTCCAAAGCAAGTATTCAGTTTTATTGCTACATCTGCTTTGTAGAAGGCAAAAATAAAGGGCCAAAATTATCATGAAAACTACTCATAAGAACAGACCGAAATAAACAGATTAAGTTTTTCTAAACATTTACAGAGCTCAAGCTGTCCAGTTCTCTCTAAAGTTCTAAGATGTAGGGGCACAATCTCCATAGATTTTATGCCAGTGTAATGTAAGACTAACTGGGTGCATCTACAAATGAAATTAGCATGTGGCAATAAACTCCGGTGCAGTTAGCACTGGAATTTATTGCTCCCAGACACAGTGTTTACATGTGCACCCAGGACCACAGCATGTTGAGCCACAGCAGAGGAGCCACGGCTGGCAAGGGGCCTGTCACCCTAGAGCTCAACATGCTGCAGAGGGACTGGCTGGGGCACGAGGGTGCTCCCATGCAGGGCTACTCTGCAGGCAGGCCCTCATGCTGTAGCACCCTTGTGCCCCACCCAACCCCAGTCACCATTTACATCTACATTTCAGCACACTAAATAACTCTGCCATAGGATAATACTTGTTCTGGAAAGTACTATTTTACAGCAGAGTTAATTAATTTACTGTGCCCTAATAGGGGTGCAAGTGTAGACAGTGACGTTTACTGTGGAGCTTATTAGTCAACTCCACAGTAAAGCACACATGTAGATGCACCCACGGGATAAAAACACCCTGTTCAGGATGACTGAAGTGTTGCATCTCGTGCATTCATTTACATATGTCCAAAGCGAGTGGAGATAAAAAGCCAAGAACCGAGTGAGCATGGAAACTGAAGCGCTCTTCAGTGTAAAGCATGCTCACTCATGTAGACTCCCTCATACTTTAAAATGGGCCACCCACATTGGGGATGAAGTAACTTTGATCAGGCAGTACAAGCAACTTGCCTTAACACTGCCCAGGTTGCAATTTTTTGCCAGATAAATAAAGAGGTGTTATTTCTGAGTGTGTAAGTTGGCTTCTATAAAGATTTCAAAGCATGCTTGAAAGTGAAAATTCTTAGAAATGCTCGTAAATGAAAAAGAAACTGCTGGCTGCAAGTGTAACACATGAAACAACAGCTTACACACTTAGAACAACTCATTGAATATATGTGATTTGAAGCCATTACACCTCTAAGCTTAAAAGAGTGGTGCAGCACGTTGACCTGTGAGCTGTTTGCAAACTGCCTTGTTTGCTCTCCCCTGCTTACTTCACAAGAAGGTACTTATGATGGTTTAGCACCTATCAATAACTTTTATATTTTCTTTCCTTATCCTATGTTATTTCAGGACAAACAGGTGCAGGAAATAATTGGGCCAAAGGACATTATACAGAAGGAGCAGAGCTGGTAGATTCAGTGCTCGATGTAGTAAGAAAAGAATGCGAACACTGTGATTGCTTGCAAGGATTTCAGCTCACTCATTCCCTCGGAGGAGGAACAGGTTCTGGCATGGGAACACTACTCATCAGCAAAATCCGAGAAGAATATCCAGATAGGATAATGAATACGTTTAGTGTCATGCCTTCTCCAAAAGTCTCTGACACAGTGGTAGAGCCTTATAATGCCACGCTCTCAGTCCACCAGCTGGTTGAAAATACGGATGAAACTTACTGCATCGATAACGAAGCTTTGTATGACATCTGCTTCCGCACCTTGAAGCTTACCACCCCTACATATGGAGATTTAAACCACTTGGTGTCTGCTACAATGAGTGGAGTTACCACATCGTTGCGTTTTCCAGGCCAGCTGAATGCTGATCTTCGGAAGCTGGCAGTAAACATGGTTCCATTCCCACGCCTTCACTTTTTCATGCCAGGCTTTGCTCCTTTGACAGCCCGGGGCAGCCAGCAATACCGAGCACTCACAGTTCCAGAGCTCACTCAACAGATGTTTGATGCTAAGAACATGATGGCAGCCTGTGACCCAAGACATGGACGATATTTGACAGTGGCCACAGTCTTCCGAGGTCCCATGTCCATGAAAGAGGTTGATGAGCAGATGCTGGCCATCCAAAATAAGAACAGCAGCTACTTTGTGGAGTGGATCCCAAATAACGTCAAAGTGGCTGTTTGTGACATCCCACCCCGTGGCCTCAAGATGGCCTCTACCTTTATTGGTAACAGCACAGCTATTCAAGAGCTTTTCAAAAGGATCTCTGAGCAGTTTTCTGCCATGTTTAGGAGAAAAGCCTTCCTCCACTGGTTTACAGGAGAAGGAATGGATGAAATGGAATTTACAGAAGCAGAAAGCAACATGAATGACCTGGTTTCGGAATACCAGCAGTACCAAGAAGCTGCAGCAAATGATGGAGAGGAAGCATTTGAAGATGACGAGGAAGAAATCAATGAATAAAACCAATTATCTTATACCAGGCCAAAATTCTTATATCTGGATTTCTAAAATTAGGTTTAAAAACCCATATTTAGGCTCGAAAAGAAAAATGAAAATGTAGTTGATGAGTGCGTGCCCATTTAGATTCTGCTAACTTAAGCAGGACCTGGAGAAGCTTAGCACCTCTGAAACTCGGGCCATTTCTGTTTAGGAGCTTAATTTTAGGTGCCTGATTTTAGAATTTTGGCATAAGAATCTGTCCAAGGAAATCACTAGATTTCTTCAAATAAGCAAAACTGTCTTTCACAGAAAGTTGTACAAGAGGCAGAATGGAAATGGGTATACATTTGGCAAAAAGGCTGAACTGTTTTAATCAAACTGAGAACAGCAAAAACTGGTGGGTCTTCAAAGTGTAATATGGCACTGAATGTACAGTACTGAACTTCCAAGAACTAAAATCTATTAATACACAGAAAGAAATGTTTTATCCATGTTCAACTCTTTACATAGTAAATCTTGATACTGATATTTGACTTCAGACATTTAACACCAAAACTAAATAAAAATAAGTATCCTCTCAATACAAGTGTTTTGACCCATCAATACCTAATACACTTAGAGTGAACTGAGGAAAAAAATGTTCACTAGAAATGTTTTCAAGAACTGTAATGCCTATGTACTCTCTGAACGTCTTTACCAACTTTTCCCAGGATATTCACACCATGTATACATGCAGTCTGTGCACTACATGACAGAACTTGTGCAGGCTCTCCAATCATATGCTTGAATCTAAAGGATGTAAGATAGTAAGAGGGAGGGATGCATACAAACTAATTATTGTGACTTACACTCTATAAAATGGATTTATATTTCAGATACTTTGGAATAACTCAATACAAAGGAAGAACAAAGCACCTCAAGAAACCCAAACTTTAAAAGCATCAGGAATCTTTTGATCCCTTCTTTCTCCCTCTCAAAATACTGCTTGAGTCAATGTAGTACTCTTGAATTTTACTAACACTCTTGAATAATTTTACTAACCCTTTAATAATTTAATTTTGTTCCAATGTTCTTCACCTATTATACTGTAACAGTCTATTTGGGAATCAAGGAATTGGACAGAATGTTTCAAAGTACATGAGAAATAATAGTATTTTGGTTACAAGCCAATGTTGTCTGCATAGTTTTATCCCAATAACATCTATATTAACTTAACTCTAATTGTAGGTTTTCTGTAGAATGTGACTGTGGATTGAAGGTACCAATTGACTTCACTCTGACACAGGTGTATACCTGGACATGCCACCAGGAGGCTGGATGGATGAGCTTTGAGAGTTGCATATAAGTTCAGAGGGACTCTTCGGAATGACCAGTTATACAAAAAGGAATTATTACATAGAAAGAGATCACAGTAAAAAAATTATAAATTGTGGGATACATTGTAATTGTATTTTGGAGTGTGCACAAAAAATGAGAGAAAATTCCAAACATGTGAATGAAGAATTAACACCTAATTGTGTACAAAACAACCATCACAGAAAGGGGGGACTTGCTAACAAACAAGTTCACTGGTGTCCCACACATGACAGGCTATTAGCACCAAGGAAAAGAGGACAAACTTATTGTGTTCTTTAGCTAAGCAAAAGAAGAGCCTGCTACTGTACTAACTTGTAAGATACATTGCTATAGCAGGGGTGGGCAATTATTTCATCTGGAAGGCCACTTAATGCATTTTAGTGAGCTGTTGGGGGCTGCAAGGGTAGCCTCTTCCCTTAATAGGCACCCCCATCCCTTAGTCGCCATGTTGGGACTGGAAGGCCCACCTCTGACCTTTGCCACCAAACATCCCTCCCCTTGCCTCGGAAGTACTCCTTTGGGGGGGGGGGGAGGGTTGTCATCTTGGAACTGGAGTGGGGAAAATAATTTACTAAAAAAAAATCAAACATCGACTATAATTTTATTTCAAAAAAATATTTTTGTCCCGATGTATGTGT